ATTAGTTTCCTCTTGCTGCTATAATAAATTACCACAAACATAACTAAAAACAACCCAAGTTTATATCTTACCATTTTGGAAGTCAGAAGTCCACAATGGGTCAGCAGGGCTGCTTCTTTTTCCTGAGAGAATCCTTTTACTTGCCTTTTCCAGCTTCTAGAGAAGGTCTGCACCCCTTGTCTCCTGGCTTCTCTTGTGGCTGGCATCACTGTGACCTCTGCTTCTGTCTTCGCATCTTCTTCTCGGACTCTGATCCTCCTGTCTTTCTCTAGTGACTACAATGAATTCATCCAGATAACCGAGATCATCTCCACATCTCAAGATTCTTAACTCAAGGATGGAGTTAACCATGGAAGTAACAGTCACAGGTTTTGGGGATTAGGATGTGAACATTTCCAGGACAGGGTTATTATCCCATTGACTACACCCGTGTCTCACTGACCAGAGAACTAGTGACTAGGTGACTATAGGAGGGCTTGGTTGATGTGCTTTTGGTTGTACTTTTGATCCTAACCTTTCTTGATGGATAAACTGAGACATACATGGTGCTTTTGCCATCAGTTTATTAAGAATGATACATAATAAGAGAAACTTATGAAACACATTTTTTTCACCCCTGAGCATCTCCTCTGCCATGATCATGGTCTTCAGAAACTGTGGAGGATGGGAATCCCCCATAGTGTCTATGAAAGAAATCATGTGAAGTTATTTTCTCTAGACCAGAGGTTCTCAACCTGTGGGTCACGACCCCTTTGGGGGGGTCAAATGACCCTTTCACTTACATTTACATTACGATTCATAACAGTAGCAAAATTACAGTTATGAAGTAGCAATGAAAATAATTTTATGGTTGGGGGTCACCACAACATGAGGAACTGTATTAAAGGGTCACGGCATTAGGAAGGTTGAGAACCACTGCTCTAGACAAAAGCATCCATATACCACAGCAAACCTGGATTATGGATAAGTCAAGTAAAGCTACAATTCTATTCCACAGAAAGGCAAAAGATTTCAATTTTGTTATATTTCAAATTTTTGCTAAAATTGTATTGAAGATGGAAATGCAGATGTATGTCAATAAACATTTTGTAAAGTGGGTTATTTTATGTATGATTATGCACAAATGAGAACTTACATCTTTTGGAGTTTTTAAAGAGGGAATAAATAATATTATTTCTCAAAAATGGGCCATATGTGATTTTATGTACAAATGAGGTAGTGGATAATGCGTTAGAGACAGTCCTTAACCTCTCTGAGGCTTAGATTTCCTGGTAATCTGGTGAAAATGTCCTAGAAAATGTTACCACCTACACATTTTGCAAGTAATCTTAGGGGTATAAGGCTGATCTCTCAAGTGGATCCACAGACCCCCAGTGGAGATCCCCAGCTCACTGGAGGAGGGAAGTGGGAGGGAGAGATAGGGACAACCTTAATTCTTACTGTGGCTTGACAGTGAAATCGTAGTCTGGTCTGGGGAACTTTAGTAAAATTACTGGAGAAACACTGCTGTTTTTATGTCTCTTTTTCTATTCCTTGGGGCCATGTAAGATTTAATTCCTAAGTCTTATTATTTATTCATTTTGTTCTGTCTCTTGTTAGTATGCCTTCCAGGCATGACTCCAATTTCCTAGATCTGTAGTTTCCATCTTGAGTGGGGTGTGACTGTGCCCTAGCCAAGAGGACATTTGGCAATGGCTGAGATGTTTTTGGTTGTGAGTGAGGGGGAATGCTGCTGGTATCTAGTGAGTAGAGAGGCCAGGACACTGCCGTACATCTTGCATCTCACAGGACAGTCCCCCCACGACAAAAATCATCTGGCCTCAGTGTCAACAATGCCGCCGGCTAGAAACTGTGGGCTAGACAATTCAACCAAGCTCCTTCTCACACAGGAATCTCCATCATTTTCTAGCATAAAGATTTGTGTGGAGGTCGCTCTTTGAGAAATTAAGCGGCAGTGTTCACAGTTGTGTGTCGTTTACTGTCCCAGGCTCTTTGTTTAAACAAAGACACAGGTGTTCACCAAGCTTTCTAGTCCCTTCTCCCTGCCGCGCACACACACGGCTGGTACACGGCGCTTTCTCAGAACTGCGGACAGCCCCCGTGGAGGAAAGACGCGTTTCCACAACTGAGATGAAAAAGAAAGTAAAAGAGTAACTGCAGAGACTCTGGCGTCAGAGCCTGTCATTTACCTTCACTCCCCGGGAGGGAGAAGCACCGGCTGCCCGGGTCCGTCTCCTCCGCGTTCCTTGGCGCCGCGGACTTCCGGCCTGCTTTCCCACCTGGTCAGTTTGGGGACCTTGTCCCTTCACAATCCGCTCTCAGAGTCTCCCGGCCCGGGGAAGCGCGCGCCGCGGACGGGGGACTCGCTCGTGCTTGTGGGTCTCAGAGGCCAGGCCTGGGCGCCGGGGCTGGGCGGGAGCGTTGGCGGTTGTTGTGGGTACCGTCTCAGGCTGGGGGATCCCGGAGGCCCTCACCTGCTTTCCCAGAAGACGCCTATTACGCAGGGTGCGCGCTGCCTAAGACCGAAAGTGCAGGGGCATAAAGGCCGTGACAGCGCGGCGCGCGGTGGCGTGGTGGGCTCCTGTGCCCCGGGGCGGCATCCAGGCTCGGAGGCGGCGGCGGTGCTGGACGAAGGAGGCAGGTAGGGGAGAGGGACGGGAGTGGAGAGCTTTAGATCCCTCAGGCTACCGGTGAGACAAGGGACTGAGGACAGGAGCATCAGCTGGCCACCAGGAAAGCTGGAGCAGGCGGCATCTCGGCTGCCTCTTTCACTGGCGGCTGGCGGGCGGCGCGGCGGGGCTGTGCCCGGGGTGCGACTGGGAGGCCGGGAGCTGTGCGCACGACGGGCCGCGAGCCGCAGACGCTGTCCCTCTCGCTGCTCACTCCGCCTCTGTCTTCAGCCTGCTGGCACTATTTTCTCACCGCTCTTCTCTCCTGAGGGATCTGCAGAATGACTTCCGTTCTACCTCTTCTCAGTCCTTTTAGGGTCACCCAGTCTCCAGTTGCAAATCCAGGCACCTCTTACCCGTCCTCGTTCTTTCAATAATGCAGCTAAACTGATGGAGCCTTTTTTCCTGAGCACCCTTCCAGGGCCCTAGCATCAGCAGTGCCAAGCACAGTCCCTGCTTTCGGAATGTCCAGTCTGGTGGGGACCACAGGCACTAAGACGAGGAATCGCCATGGAGGCGATGGGTCCTCTGGGGAGCTGTTTGGTGGATGGGGTCCAGGGAGCCTCC